TGAAGGGATGTGGTGACCAGGCAGCACCTTTAAGTGATGAGGAAGTCCCCACTCCCGCAAGGAGGAGCCCTGTGTGAGGTGAGGCACTTGGTGGCCCAGCAGGGTCTCTCTTGTGCAGCCCACAGTCTTCTTGTTCTAAGCCATGGGAGCCCGTGGTCCTGGTGAGGGCCCTTCAGGTACTCTGATGACGAATCAGATGGTGGCTACAGAGGCCTGTGGAGCAGATATGACCAGAGGCTTACAGCGAACACCGCAGCCACTCTGTCCTGGCCTGCAGTTTCCCAGATTTCCCTAGACCGAGATTATGCCTTCCCAAGGTCTTTTACCCCAAACAAAATAAACAAAAGGAAAACCTAATTTCCAGGAATAAAAATTAGGGAAGGGAGTGAAGGGAGAAAAACGGAGGGAAATGGGCAGGAGAGGCAAGGAGGGGCCTTTATCTATCTCCAGCAGGTCCGTTCCTGCCTGCTTACAGGGCTGAGTCACGATCCTGCTCCACCCAAAACCTTACAGTCCTCCGCCAGGACTGGCTCTCTGAAGTCTCCAGCTGGTAGGCAACGTTTGATCCCACTAGCAGGAAGCAAGGGCTCTGGCCCTTGCAAAAGGCTTGCTGAGTGAGCCTCTCTACGCTTAGATTCTAGAGAGATGGCATTTCCTGAAGAACCAGGGTGGAAGGGGTCAGTTGGGCTGGAGAGAGGACTGTGGCAATAGCTTTCACCAAGTGACATTCCTTGTGTCCAGACCGATGACTAAGGGCAAAGTCTGTGAATCGCTAAGAGTCCTTCATGCTTGACGCTTCTGACACAGTGTGAGTCTCCAGATGCACGAACGAGACGGTGAATAGAAGAATATGGTTGTTGCCTGACTTAACAGTGGCCTCTCGCTCCGAAAACCCGCTAGGAGTTGAAGATTTGGTTAACACTGCGGGTGGGGACATCACAACTCAGTGGTGCTGCGGGACATGCTATTCCATCCACGATGGATGGGTGACTAAGTGTTGGGCTCACTGTACTGTCCAAACTGAAAGAGCGCTCTAGAGGTGATGATACACCGAACCTGTAGCACCTGAGAGACTGAAGCAGGAAGGTCTTGAACCTGGGCTACGTAGCATGTCTGAGATCAGTTTGAACTACATAGTGGGATCTTGTCTCAAAAACAAACAACAAAAAAGGATTACATCATTAGTCTGGGAAAAGACAGAAATTTAAAATAAAAAAATCTAAATTCCTATATTGAACTGCTTTTGAGCCGTTATAGATCCTGGTGCGTTGAGGACTGGGAGGTATTCCTTCTGTAGCAAGGCATTTTGGTGGATGGACTTGAGCAGAGTCATGAATTAGGCAGAATTTCTTTTGTCTTTGACTGCCTTTGTTTGTTGGTTTTGTTTTGTTTTTCAAGACAGGGTTTCTCGGTGTAGCCCTGACTGTCCTGGAACTCACTCTGTAGACCAGGCTAGGCTGGTCTCAAACTTAGAGATCTGCCTGCTTCCATCTTCTGAATGTTGGGACTAGAGGCACTCACCACCACTGGCCAGATTACCTTTCCTTTCTTATTATGTCACTAAGGGACATTCCTCCTGTTTACGCTGATGACTGACAAGGGTAAAGCCTGTGAACAGCTCATAGCACTTGGTGCTTTGTGCTGACATATTCTATGAGTGCCTCCTGCTGTTAATGATGAATAAACGAGTGTGGATTAAAGAATATGATTACTCCCTGATTTACAGTGGGGTGCTGTTGTTGTTGGTGGTGTTCTTACTATTGCAGGGCTGAGGACCAAACCCAGGGTCTGACCTCAACCTTTTAAGTACTTTTGGGTGCACCACAGGCTCTAGGATGCCATATGCCCCCCTTTCTCTGTGGTCAGTACATCTGTCTGGGACTTCCCTGGGACAGGCTTCTTTCATTTCTCAGTCACTAGTCACTGCGGGGGGGGGGGGAGCTGTTCCAGGAAGCTGGGGTTCATTCTGACAGATGGCACAGCCTATGCCTCTGGTTCAGGAGAAAATGAGCAGTTTCTCAAAAATATTGTCTGATGCTTGGTGTGGACCCCGCACTGCTAGTGTGGACCCCGTGATGCTGGTGTGGACACCGCGATGCTGGTGTGGACACCTTGATGCTGGTGTGGACACCAGGATGCTGGTGTGGACACCGTGATGCTGGTGTGGACACCAGGATGCTGGTGTGGACACCGTGATGCTGGTGTGGACACCTTGATGCTGGTGTGGACACCGTGATGCTGGTGTGGACACCAGGATGCTGGTGTGGACACCGTGATGCTGGTGTGGACACCAGGATGCTGGTGTGGACCCCGTGATGCTGGTGTGGGCACCGTGATGCTGGTGTGGACATCGTGATGCTGGTGTGGACCCCGTGATGCTGGTGTGGACCCTGTGATGCTGGTGTGGACACCGTGATGCTGGTGTGGACACCGTGATGCTGGTGGGGAGATCACAGGGTACATGCCTGGAAAAGCAGCTTGGTAATGAGTATGGAGGACTTAGCACATCTGTAACCCCAGCACCCAGGAGGCTGAAGCAGGAGAATCCTCAAAGCAAGACAAGCCTGGGTTAGGTAACGAGACCCTGTCCCCCCAAAAAAGTACTAAACACATTAAAAACAAAACAAATAGAAGACAGCTAAACCAACCAATATGGAAATGATCGAATATGATACCGTCATATGAAATTTTATGTAACTGTTGAAATCATTTCAATCACTTTAGTGACTTGTTAAGATGCATGTTGGCTATTGGAAGTAAAAAAGTCAGGGTTCAAAGTTTGTAAATGGTTCATCCTTGCTGGAAGAAGCGTCACTGGCCTTGAGCTCTACCTTCCTGCTTTGTGTTTGCAGTTAAAGGCCTCACCGCTCAGCTTCCTTATTGCTTTGGAATGTAAGCATAAATAAGTTCTTTCTTCTATAAGTCCCCTTGGTCTTAGTATTTTATCACAGCAAGTGAAAAATGACTAACACAGAGGGCTTCATTTTTTTTTAGCCCAGGCTGGCCTGCAGCTCACTATGTAGATCAGGTTGGCCTTCGACTTATCAAATTCCTGCTCCACCTCCAGAGTACTAGAATTACAGGTGTACATCACCATACCGGCCTATGGAATAGCATTATTTTTAGATTTATTTATTGTTTGTTTATTATTTATGTGTATCAGTGTTTTGCCTGCATGAACATATATGTACCCTGTGCATGCCTAGTGCCCATGGAAGTCAGAAGAGGGCATGGAATCCTCTAGAACTGGAGTTATGGACGGCATAACTGGGTGGACGGACCTGGGTCGTGCACGAGAGCAGCGAGGGCCCATAACAGCTGAGCTGTCTAGCCCCTCAGTCCATTATTTCTGAGGCTGCCACTCCTGAGGGAGGTGCCCCTGTGTTTGCTAAGAGCTAGCCTTGCCACATACTGCTCTGTTAGTTTGGATCCTGGCCCTGCTTTGATACTACGAGGATGAAGACCTTAGACAAATCATTGTTTCTCGGTGTGTGTGTGTGTGTGTGTGTGTGTGTGTGTGTGTGTGTGTGTAGTTTATAAAAACCCAGTGTCTGAAATAGATGATTTCCAGGGGCAGATGGTCATTCTGACACACTCATGAAGCCAATGTGTTCATTGTGAATAAGGCTCTACTGTATGTAGATTCTTTTCCAAAGCCCAAGGAATGACTCGCTAATGGCAGAATTCACCTCAGGCAGCGTCACCACACGCGTGAACACCCACCTAACAGCTTTCTCTACACACTGACCCACGAGAGGAAGGAAGGCGAGCTCCTGAGTCTGGCGGCTCCTTCCTCATCCTGCCCCCTCCCCATGTCCAAGCTGTCTGTGCAGTCTGCTTACTTCCACCCCCCCCCACCTCCTTCCTGTGGCTGAGCGGGGCTTACGTCACTGGGGTTCCCTGGTAGCTGATGGAGCAGTCACCACAGATTGGGGAAGGCAGGAGCAGTGACTCATGCTGAAGGTCCAGTGAATCAGACAGGGTGGGCCAGGGCAGGGGCTTCCCTCCTAGGAAGTGCAGCGGCTGCACTGGGGAGAAAGGACCAACCTTGTCCCCTTCAGAGAACTCACCGACAATCCCATTTTCCCAAGAAAAGGCCCCGTCAAAGCCTCCAAGAAGGAGCTCAGGATCAACCTTTCGCAGCCTTTCCTAGCCTGGCTTGAGCCCTGCTGGGGTTCAGAAACAAGTGTGCTCAAAATGCCTTGGGCTGTGAGGCCTTCAGTTAAGTGTTAATGGCTTGAAAGTTCAGTTTCCTGGAAAACATAGTCTTTGCCTCCTGGAGTTGGGATACTGCAAATGAAGCCTAACACTACTATTGAACCTAGAATGGAAACCCTGTTGCCTTTGGATTCAAAACCTAGGAAGCTTTTGCCTGGTAACACAATACCGTGGCCCCTGCCAGGTCTCCAAGGTGTATGTCTCTTACAGAGCCACAGAGGACCCTAGGGTAGGTTGAGAGCCCGCTTGAAGGGTATCACATTCTCTCCTTGCCAGCAGCTCCCTCTTCGTAGCCAGCGTTCTCATTCCTCCTAGGCACCCCAGGGTCTTTTTCCTGCCGAGTGTCCCTTCCCCCTGCACAGTAAAGAAGAAATATCAGGGATGCTAAGCCCATCAGCAATACCCGTAGTTTACTTTTGTTTCAGGTGCTGGCATGGCATAGTAGAACACTGTGTTGATTTTCTCAGGATAGTTTGTTCATTATCAATAATGCCTATTAATTTTGACTTAAAATATTGCATTCAAGTATGATTTATACGGATGACTGCTAAAATCTTCAGTACTTGGATTTTTTTTTTTCCAGATGAGGATGATGTGATGTGGGGTGTGTTATGGGCACGAGGCCCTGTAGACTGTGCCAGCCGCCTTAAATTTGTGATTTTATTGCCCTCCTAGCTCAGTCCCACCCTATCTACACACTCCCCTGTCTGTTTCTTCCGCGCTCAGGGATGGCTCACAAGTCTAGACACCCGACCAGGGTCATTTACTTGGGCGACCACGGCGGATCGCGCGGGGTGGGGCTTGCAGGCACCTCGCGTGGGAAGGTCGGTGTATAAGTCCCGACCTGGCCAGACTTCCTGCCCGCGGGGCCCAAGACTCTGGCACTGGATACGCGCCAGGGGGCGTCGCCGGGCGGGAGCGGCTTCCTGGGAGCGGGCGGCTCAGGCGGCGAATCGCGGGGACAGCTCACCTGGACCAGCGACATGGAGGACGGCGTGCTCAAGGAGGGCTTCCTCGTGAAGAGGGTGAGTGCTCTTCGGCCTCGCGCCCGCGTGGCGGTGGGGATAGCGGAGCGGGCGGTGGCTGGACGCGCGGGCGAGGCTGGGGAGTGCGCCTGCTGGCCAACCCGCCCGGCCCGCAAAGGCGGATCCGGTTTGGTTACTGTGGCTCGGGGCTGGCTCTGGCAATGGATCTCTTAAAACAACTTAATTGGGACTGAGGACAAGGCCAGGGTCAGGACCCGTGGTTAGTATGCTCAAGGTCCAAGTCCACAGCTACGCAAACATCACACACCTTGTTACAATTTCTTAAGAAGTGTGGGGTGCACGGTGGAGAGAGAGGATGGTTATAAAGGGCACAGTTGGAAAGAAGGAATGACTTCTAACATTCTGTGGCAGAAGGTTAGCTATGGTGGACTGCAATTAAAAGTGTATTCTGAAATAGCTAAGAGGATTTTGAATGTTTCCGACACCATGAAACAATAATAAATATTTGAGGTGATGAATATGCCGGTTACCCAGATCGATTGTTGCATACCATGCTTATGATTGACGTCATGATGTATGTACTCTATGAATATACAGTCATGTGTCAATTAAAAAATATAACAGTTCGATATTGAAATATAAAATACCATGGACATGCCGTGTAGTTTACAATCTGGGAGGGAGTGAGGCACCCCCTCCCGTGTGTGTGTGTGTGTGTGTTTTACCACTTGACTGTCTTGTTTCATCCTTCATCAGTCCTGCAGGATTAGTGATTGGCAGAACAGCTGTTGCTACCATTTATAGATGAGAAGAATGAGTATCAGTAAGATGGGATAGCTTGCCTAGAGTGAGTATTAGATGGGACACGGATTCCATCCTTAGTTCATCCCCGTTACCCCGTGGTGAAGAAGCAAGAGTACAAACAGGGGACACTCTGGGACTCCCAGGATGTCCTAAAATCAAGGCAGAAAAATGAACGAAAGAACCTGAAAGAAAAAATTTTAGGGTTCAGCAGTATGACATTTACCTAGCCTGCAGGAAATCTTGGGTTTGACCACTAACACCTAAAAAAATTAACATTGATGTCGACACTGAACATTTATATTAGTATAACAGCATAGCAAACAGATGAATAAATTCTAGACTGAGCCGTTCTGGGCTTACAGCCTTAGGAAGTGGGGTGATGAGGGTAAAGCGGTTGTCCTCATTGTTTACCCGGCCACAGCAGCTCCAGAGCCCTGAAAGCTCAAGTCCCTTTCCTATTCTGTTGACACGGTGTCTGCCTTGCTTTGCACAGCATGTGATCCAGGAAGACACGGTGTGCTTTGTTCAAAGCTATAAGCACGGAAGCTGATGTCAGGTCGGTGGTCAGGCTGGTGTCCGTCTGTCCAGAATTCCATGCTCACTTTGTGTCTTTGTCGTTTAAATGATGAGATGGTTCACCCAGGTCAGAGTGACAGGCTGTGGGGAAGGAACCTCTGTCTCCCAGGGTGCTGCAGCCTGTGAGATGACTGAGGTGGTGTGATATGGGGTTGGCTGGTGAAGGCGTGGGATCATCTCCAGGCCAAACCCTTCAGATAGGGCTTTGTGGGCCTCTGCCTATTCCTGGGGTTGCCTACATGACTCCCCACTACCTCTACTATGTAGAGATGGGAGGGCTGAGGCTCAGCAGAACACAGAAGAGGATTGCCCTTGTCTTCTGGGAGGCCTGGTCTAGGATGCAGGGAGTCAGCGGAGGGCGTAGCCGAAGCACCAATGCCTCCTTCCAGCCTGATCCTGAGGCAAACAGAAGTCACGTTGGTTCCTGGCCCGCGATCTCCACTACGATCACTACCTGCTCCCACTGCCTCTCACGTGGCAGCAGCCATCCTTGTGTTGTGCCCCCTGGGGAAGCTACAGGGTCGGGTGGCACTGGGTAGTTTGGGAGGGTTCGCAGCTCTGGGATGGGGAACGAGAGAGTAGAGCAGCCATCTCCTGGGAGGCTTAGCTGGAGGCAAGCAAGGGCATGATGGATTTGGCTCCTAATCCTGCCCAGACAAGAAAGAACCAAACTCTAGGCAAAACACAGGGCAGTTGCCAGACGTGGCTCTCAGGGGGAGGAGCAGCAGGGTGGGGGTGCGGGTGGGGGTGGAGGAATATGGCTCTGTGGTGAGGAGAGTTGAAATATAGGCGCTGCTGCCAGGCTTGGATCTTGAGCAACGTGCTAGCCTGAGACATGAACTGGAGGGCTCCAGGACTCTAGCTCAGGGAAATACGGTAAGAACTTTATCAAGTTCTTTTGAGGCAGGGTCTTATATAGCCCACTGTAGCCTTAATCTGTCGGCCTCCACCTCCCAAGTACTGTTTTTTCTTTTCTTTTTTTTTCTTTTTTTTGGTTTTTCGAGACAGGGTTTCTCTGTGGTTTTGGAGCCTGTCCTGGAACTAGCTCTTGTGGACCAGGCTGGTCTCGTACTCACAGAGATCCACCTGCCTCTGCCTCCTGAGTGCTGGGATTAAAGGCGTGCGCCACCACCGCCCGGCCCAAGTACTGTTTTATAGGCATGTTCATCATGTCCAGTTTATTTGGTGCTGAGGATTCAATCCAGCTTGGCAAGCCCTCTACCTACTGAACTACACCTCAGCCCAACATAATATTTTGTTTGTATAAAATATTCTAGCCGGTAGTGGTGGTGCACGCTGGTAAGATTTGCTGAAGGAGGCAGAGGCAGGAGGATCACGAGTTTGAGGCCAGCCTGGGCTACAAGAGCTAGTTCCAGGACAGGCTCCAAAACCACAGAGAAACCGTGTCTCGAAAAACCAAAAAAAAAAAAAAAAAAAAAAAAAAAAAAAAAAAAAAAAAAAAAAAAAAAAAAAAAAAAAAAAAAAAAATCTAGAAGCCTGGTGTAGTGATAAATTTCAGCACTTGGGAAGCGGAGGGAGGAGGAGCCTTGGTTGGAGATTTGCCTATGCTACATAGGGAAACCCTTTCTCAAATACACACATAATACAACCAATCAACCAAACACCCCTGGAAGCCGCTCACATATCTCCTGAGATAAATGATGAATTAAACCATTGTTAAACAGGTGTATAAAAATGCTTGTGGTATTAAATCTACTTCTTCTTTTTTCAAGACAGGGTTTCTCTATGTAACCCTGGCTGTCCTGGAATTAACTCTATAGACCAGGCTGGCCTTGAACTAACTCCCAGAGATCTGCCTGCCTCTGTCTCTGGAGTGCTGGGATTAACAGCTACCAGGCCTGGCTGTTCCTTATCATTAAAGTTAGGGAGGACAGTATCTCCAGCTGTTACGCTCTGTGCTTCTTTAGTACATCCCTGAGCGCCCATCTCATCGGGCTCCTCCTTTCCCCTAAAGGAACTGGCCTGTGCCCCAGTCAGTGGCTTACAGACAAGAGGCCTGAAGAGAGAGACTTCTCCGTGCATGGGAACCAGTGCCTAGGTGGAGGGGTGGGGGCTGGGTTTATTTGGACCTAGATTCACTTTGCCGGTGTACACCAAGACTTACCTGTGGTTGATTTGTAGAGCAGGAACACCGGTGGTTTCCTTCGAGGTGTGAGGAACCTCCTGGTGAGGTCCCCACTGCTGTCTCATTGTTTCGCTCACTTGTTCCAGCACACGGTGGTCAGAATGATTGTTTTGTTGAGGCAGGGTCTTACTGAGTAGCCTCAAACTTGTGATCCTCCTGCCTCAGGTGTAATTACAGATTAGTGTGCCACTAAGCCTGACCAGAGTGAGTGACTGATTGATTGATTGATTTTTGAGACAGACTCTAGTTCAGGATGGCTTTGAACTCACTATGTAGCTGAGGGTGGCTTTGAACTTCTGGTACATTTTCCTCCACCCCTGGAGTTCAGGCTTAAGTCACCAGGCCTAGCTTATGTGGTGAGGGCTTCATTTCTGTTAGGCAAGTGTGGCCCCTGCACCATGGGAAGGTTCGCTAGTCGGGCAAGGGGCTGGAGATTCACACACACACACACACACACACACACACACACACACACACACACACACACACACAGAGGTGGGGGGGGGTCATCCTTGAAACAAGAATGCAAAATTTATTGTGTTCCAGGGCAGCTTATATAGGGCTCTCCTTGACTAATGGTCACGCCCCAGCTCTCGGGATTTTTCAGCAGCAAGCCCACCAGAAACCACTCCCTTGCCATCAGGAACTCATGAGGGTCTTGTGCCCAGAGCAGCTGCAAACACATAAAAATAAGCTGCTTACTTCAGCAGGCAAAGGGTCATAGAAAATTCAGGGTCTGAGGGTCTGCAGTCCCCCAACAGGCAAGCACAATCCCAGCTGGGTTACATCCCCAACTCCAGAGGGATCTTTTTAACATAAAACCCCAAACTTGTTCTGCTTCTGCTTGAAGTTCCTCATGGTCTGAAGATCAAACTGTGACATAGAAAGGAAACCTCTGCCTACCAGGAACCCATCCCTTCCCCACAAGTCGGTGCCCAAGTCATGTAGAGCCACACAGATGCTTTTTTTTTTTTTTTTTTTTTTTGNCTAGCTTTCTTGTCTATTCTTCCCATTTCATTGTAGAAATGCTAGGATTACAAAGATGTTCGCTGCTATGCCTGGCTTTGTGTGGGCTTGGGGTCTGAACTCCGGTCCTCACACTTGTGGGGCATGTGCTTTACTCCCTGAGACATCTCTCTAGTTTTCCTTTTTTTTTTTTGATTTTTGAGACAGGGTTTCTCCGTAGCTTTTGGTTCCTGTCCTGGAACTAGCTCTGTAGACCAGGCTGGCCTCGAACTCACAGAGATCCGCCTGCCTCTGCCTAAGAGGAAGTGCTGCAATGGTTTTGGTGCTGAGACTCAAGCCTGAGACCTCACAGAGACTAGGCAAGGGCTCCACTGCCTGACTACATCCCAAGCCCAAGGGTGGTTTGTGCTTTGTGCTCACTCTTGCCTGCCTTCCTTATCTGACCAAGTTAAATAGCTCATCGAGACTTTTTGCTTATTTGAATTTAAAATTATTATTTTACTGTACTAAAAAAATATATCATTTTCTGGTTATTATAATATACACATACAATCTCAGAACTCAGATCGTGAGGCCGGAGGATCATAGGTCCAAATCCAGTCTGGGCAAGACCCTGCTGTCCTTAAAAACAAAAACAAAATGTTTTAGGAGCTGCGATTTAATGGTGAAGTGCTTGCCTAGCATTTTTGAGACTCTGGTTTGATTCCCACCATCACAAACCCACAGAGAATTATTTATAATAATTTTAGAATTATATTACTAGGGGATGGAGATATAAGTTCACAGAATACTCACCTTGCACACACGATGCCTTGGGTTCAGTCCCTAGCTACATACACATGCACACACACTAAACTTTCTTTTTATTTATCTTTTTTTTTAATTTTCTTTTTAATTTTTTATTTATTTCTGATGGCAAGGACCTGGCTGGCCTGGGACTCTCTATGTAGACCAGGATGATTTTGAACTCGCAGAGATCTGCCTGTCTGCTTCAGGAGTGCTGGAATTAAAGCCGTGCACTACCTTGTCTGAGGCAGGAGAATCACGAGTTCCAGGCCAGCCTGGGTTACATAGTTAGACCTTTCTACATGCACACATAATACCCTGTCTAAATGCATGCATACACACATGATTATTTGCATACAGACAGTCATGGTAAAGGGAAGGCTGGAAGGAAACACCAGATATTAACAATGGCTGTCTTGTACTAAAAGATTTAAAGGAGAGTGTTTTTTCTTTATATTTTGCAGTTTCTCTCAAACTTTATGAACTGGTTCTGGGATGTATAACTCGGAGGCAAAACACTTGTCTCACCTGCCAGAGGGCCTGGGTTTAATCCCCACCCCTGGTTGGGGAGATTTATAGACAAGCAAAGGTCAATAGGAAATAAAAGGCCAAGGTCAAAGGCTTTTGCCTCAACTCAGAAGAGATGAGTTGAGGAGAGCCCAGTGCGATTCCTGCTTCCTCAGTCAGTGTACATTGTCTCTCAGCCCACACTGCTTGCCAGAGCCATGGGCTTCCTCTCCCTAGCTCAGTATCCTCCCTTGTATCCTCCTTTGTATCACCTCACCACCGGGCTTTCCTGTCTGTCCGTCTGTCTGTCCATAGGGCCACATTGTCCCCAACTGGAAGGCACGATGGTTTATCCTTCGGCAGAACACACTCCTGTATTACAAGCTAGAGGGTGGCCGGCGAGTGACCCCACCCAAGGGAAGGATCCTTCTCGATGGCTGCACCATCACCTGCCCCTGCTTGGAGTATGAAAACCGGCCGGTACGTGAGCATCCTCATGCCCGGTCCCATTCTAGCCACCTTGCCCCTTGTTTATCATTAAATGATTTGGGTTCAAATCCTGGCTATCCCATGAACCAGGACAAATAGTTAAACCTCTCTTAGCTCTCATTCGTCCTGGAGCAGAATGTTCCATCCTGGGTGGGGTTCTCTGAGAATGCCGACCAAGGGCTGAGCATGCAGCAGAGGGCAAAGCTTTGGGGAAGGAATCGAAACTGCGTCACACGAAGACTAAGTGGGTGGCTTGGCGATGCTTGAACCGGAGACAGGGACGGAAGGGGCTTTGCTGGCAGTCCTCCAGGGTAGCTGGCAGTGTCTTTGGAGAGGTTCCTGAGATAACCTGGCACTCCTAGCAGCAGAGCTGCGTTTTGTGTCCAGCTCCATCTGACATGGGAATTCCCCTCTTTGGAGAGGGCTTGTGATAGGAAGTGAGGCTGTGGGTCTGGAGGGATGAGTCAGAGTCACAGTGTTGGGATGCACTCTGCATTAATCCGTGCAGAAGGGAACGGCTGCTCTAGGGGGCCATGAGTTCTTTGTCTCGGATCTCGGATGTATCCCGATCAATCTGTACAGCCCCACCTGCCGAGTGTGGGCAGGGCTGGGCACCAGGCATCGCTGGATACATGACCTCCGGGATCCTCCCTGGCCTTGTCATTCCTGCTGCCAGCATTCCCTTGCCTGGTTGTCCTCTGAGTATCCGTCTGTCTGGTTGTCTCTTCCCACAGCTTCTCATTAAACTGAAGACCCGAACTTCCACTGAGTACTTCCTGGAGGCCTGTTCTCGAGAGGAGAGGGACTCCTGGGCCTTTGAGATAACAGGAGCTATCCATGCAGGGCAGCCGGGGAAGGTCCAGCAACTCCACATACAGAAAAACTCCTTCAAGTTGCCCCCACACATCAGCCTGCAGTGAGTGCTCCACCTGCCTGCGCCGACTCTGTCCGGCATCCCTGCAGCCTCTCCTGTCCATTTAGCAGGGAGGGGGACCCTGTGGTACAACACGGGCTTGGCTAGTCCACCGTTGTGCTTCAGAGCCAGCAGTTTTCTTTGTCCTGGTTATGGTGGATCGACTACTTAGAATGTGCCTTATTTAGCTCCGCTCTCTTAGGTAACCTTTTAGGGCCTCTAAATACCTTAATGAATGAAGTCATAATACCTTAATGAATGAAGTAGAGACTACCATTCCATTGTAGGCAGAGTGCTTAGGATTATGTGACAGGTCTCACTTGCAATTCAGTGGTAGGTAATGGCTGCCTTATTGTTTAGATGGAGTCCTCATTCAACCATCTAAGAAATCATGGAGTACATCACAAACATGTACAATTCTTATGTGTCAATTTTATAAAGAAAAAAGAGGCGGTTTCTGAGTGCCTGTTGAATGTCATGCCAGGTGCTCAGCAGAGGTAAGCGGTGATAAACAAGGTCTCAAAGGCCTTCCGTCCCAGGGACACATATAGAGAAGACCTTTCACTGGTGGTGGCAGTTGTCACATCTGCCAAGGGAAGGCCAGTCAGCGGTGTTGGTGATACCGTACCACAGAGATGTATGACAGCGTTTCCATCATGGTGATGCCCCATAGCCTCCCAAGCAGCCTCGCTGTTATGGCCATCCTAGATGGGATGCGAGTCTGTTCCTGAACTCATGGAACTCCACACCAGTCTCTGAAGCGCAGTGTGCACACACCCGTGGGTCCACATAGCTGCTAAGCCGGGGTGGGTACAGGGAGGTGCAGCCGAGAAGGTAGAGTCAGAAAGGAAAGCTACGAAGGAGCAGCTGCAGGAGTTCAGATGCGGATCACAGGGAGCTGTGAGGGCCCCTGGGTTTTAAACAGTCACAGCTGTTTAGCTTTATGTCAACAGTAACGGTTGCCCAGTGTGGGATTATTTGAACGTTTAGATGACCAAGAAGAGGAGCACCTGAAAGTCACGTCTATTAGATTTTAATTGATAACCAAAGCCTGTCTCTGTGGTGTGTGTCATACCACCTGTCCCCTGCTTTGTCTCATGAACTGATATCATGGCTTATATCATGATTCCTGTCCCCCGCCCTCTCTATCCCCACCATCACAGACAGTGTGAGTGTGACCAGGGTCTTTTCTTTTGTCTTCTTTCTGTGTAGTCGAATTGTGGACAAGCTGCATGACAGCAGCAGTGGAATCCGGCCGTGTCCCAACATGGAGCAGGGAAGCACCTACAAAAAGACCTTCCTAGGTGAGCTTGTCTGTCCCATGGCCAGGCTGGAGATCTGGGACATAGTGACTGGGTGCTTATCCGACTGCTTGACCAGTTTATAACGGGGACCTAGCTGCCTGGGAAGAAATGGGATAGGCTGTGAGGGCCACCTGTGGGTGTGGCTACAGCTCTGAGCATTGGCTGTGACCCTCAGGCTGCTCTGTGGTAGAACCTGAGACTTCCCAGGAGGGTAAGGTCGGTGAGGTAGCTCACCGAGCCCCTGAGTAGGCTAGGGTAGAGCTGACCCACGATCTGACAGGTTTGTCCTTGTCCTGACACAGGCTCCTCCTTGGTGGACTGGCTCATCTCCAGCAACTTTGCAGCCAGCCGTCTGGAGGGGGTGACCCTGGCCTCCATGCTTATGGAAGAGAACTTCCTCAGGCCAGTTGGGGTCCGGAGCATGGGAGCTATTCGTTCCGGGGATCTGGCCGAGCAGTTTCTGGATGACTCCACAGCCCTGTACACTTTTGTAAGTTAAAGGTTAGGCTTTCCTTGCCGTGAGGGGAGAGGGGAGGAAGTGGCAACTCCCACAGTTGGGAGTCTGGAGCCAGAGGGAAGGCCCAGGGTATGGGGAACAAGGGGCTTCTGTGTTGAGGAATCCTCTTTGCAGTTGCAGCCGCCATGGCCTGGGTTTGGGGTTCGTTTGTCACAAGCCCTTGTCTTCCGTTTCCCACCAGGCTGAAAGCTACAAGAAGAAGGTCAGCTCCAAGGAGGAGATCAGTCTCAGCACCATGGAGTTAAGTGGCATAGTGGTCAAGCAAGGCTACCTATCCAAGCAGGTATGGCTGCCCTTGAGCTGTCACACTTGAAGGAGGCAGGAAAGAGCCCAGAGGGAGGCAGGAGCTGAGGATACTGCAGTACCTTCTTTATTAGTGGGCTCCCCAAAACAGGGTCCCCCCCACCCAGCCGCAAGAGGCAAGTGAAGGACCCACACATGCTCATTCTCACACTACACGTGCCAGACCCAAGAACTGTTTCGAAAAAATGTACACAGAAGTAATTGTCACATTAAAAAGCAACTTCTGCCGGGTGGTGGTGGTGCATGCCTTGAACCCCAACACTCAGGAGGCAGAGATAGGAGGATCTCAGTGAGTTCTAGGCCAGCCTGGTCTATAGAGGGAGTTATAGAGGGTCTATAGAGTGCTATCCTGCCAGAGTGAAAAATGGTGAAAATCAAAAATAGAATAAAATAAAATAAAAAGCCCAAATATACATGTAGCTATGGGGTTGCCTTTGGACCAAGCTGACCCTTAAAACGCTGGTGACCTTCAGTTGGGTTCAGTGAGGCCTAGGAACAATGTGGGCTGTGAACTGCTGAGTCAGTCGCTGTTTGTTCTGTCCTCCTCCTTTAAACTTAATTAAATATATTTCATGTTATTGGCAATATTTTTGTGTATATGGGTGTGTTGTCTGCGCATTTGTGTGTACAGTACTTAGAGAGATCAGAAGAGGGATTTGGATCTTTTGGAACTGGTGTTACAGATGGTTGTTAGCCACCACGTGGGCGCCGGGAACTGAACCAGGGTCCCCTTCAAGAGTAACAAATGCTCTTCACTGAACAGCCATCTCCCCAGCTCCCTCGCCTTCTTGTTTTTCAGTGCTGGGAATTGAACTCAGGGTCTTGTGCTTGCTCGGCTAACAACCCTACCACTGAGCTCCAGTCCCAGCCCTTTAGTGCTTCCCTTCTGGAGTGTTGGGGTGATGTGTCCCTTTCCCTTAGACTCTTAGCTCTCTGTTAACTAGTGTGCTATTATGGCCGCGGTGCCGCTAAGCAGGGTCGGTGTCACTGTGATCCCTGAGTCTCTTGCAGACTGTCCTTGGAATGTAGTCCCATTGGAGCAGGCTGGCTTGCTGGGGCTTTGTCAGATGTCACATGGAAGACAGAAGGAAATGTAGAGCTTGAGACCTTTCTTTCCCACAGGGGCACAAGAGGAAAAACTGGAAGGTGCGCCGATTTGTTCTGAGGAAGGATCCAGCGTTCCTGCACTACTATGACCCTTCTAAAGTGAGTGACCCCTGTCCCTTGGGACTGTGCTGCTTCCAGAGTCTGTGCAGACCGGGCAACGGCTGTGTGTCCTCTCCCGCATCGCACCGTGGTTCCTTGCCGCCCATACTTCTCTGTCATAGAGTTGTCTGCTCCGTGCGTGGTCTTCTGTACCTACTTGCCATGAGAGGACCTTCATTCTTTTACTTTCCCCAGACCTGCTTTGCAGGGAGAGGGAGTGAGGGAGACTCCTAAGTGGTGCTCCAGCGGTTCTCCCATCCTCTTCATCCTTTTCATCCAGCTGGCCTACAAATCCTGCCTTCCCTCAACTTCTTGTTTTCGCCTTTGAAATTTTCTTTTTATTGTATTTAATTTATACATTACTTTTTGAGTCTGGAATTGTTGCTCCATGTTTCTCATAAATATCACCTCATTAACTCGTGCTGAATTAATTCTAATCAAAAGAAAAATGGCGCTCTAGTCAGAGAGTTCAGCCTTGACTGATATGAGTTTCAGTCAGGACCCCTTAGCCTAATGGAGGAACTCTCTCAATTCCCCGCCGAGCACAATGTGTGTTAAGGCCTAGAGAGAGGGATAGAAGGAGAGCTGACTGAGGGACCAAACTCTTGGGCCTCTAGAAGGCACCCATTGATCTGTAAGTCCTAGTACTGTTGTTACCATGGCTGTCTCCAATCCTTTTTTTTTTTTTTTTTGATTTTATTTTTAAAGCTAGCATAGCATGTAACCTTGGCTGGTCTCAAACTCGTTGTGTATCCAAGATGAACTTGAATGCTGGGATTACAGGCATGTGCCATCTTTCCAGACTGAACCCAAAACTCTGTGTAGGCTAAACAAGGATGCTAACAACTGAGCTACATCTCCAGTCACACTAGGCCCTTTTGAAACTTGGAAAATATCAACAAATGTATAAGCTTTTAAGTCTTAATCTAGAGTCAACTGCTTTGTGCCCTTGGTGAGTCCAGGGCCTTTTGCTATTAATCTGCTCTAAGACTTTGCTATTACCCTTCTTATTGCTGGGTTAAATCTATCCCAGTACCCAGGACCCGCTTCTCAAGGCCAAATCTGTCTCCCCTTGAAACTGCCTGCTGTAGATGCCTGCAGTGCTGGGCTCCTTCTTGATGCTTTCCTCCTCTGGTATCTAAGTCAACACCTCTTCACTGTTATTTAACCGCTTTAGCTTTTGTTTTCTGGAGTCACCCATTCAGTATTGATTATTAACGGAAGGGACCAAGGGCCGAGGCTTCTGGTGTGCAAAGTTGCTCTTTAACCATCCAGATTCCATAAACCCATCTTGCTTCATGCCGAGAGACTTACATAGCAATGTCCAATGTGCAGGAATACCCGTCATAACTGTATATTGTTGACAAAGGTTAAAGAAGCCAGGGCATGCTTCTGGTGGAATGTCGGATGAGCTCAGCTCTGCCAGACCTTAGTGTACTGCTGCTACGACCGGGCCCCAAACGCCTCACTGGTACAAGTTCCTTGGGCAATGATGCCCAAGTTCAGCCACATCTATTACAGACAATTTGAAGTGTCTTTAGCAGTGGCCTGGCAGGTCAGGCGTAGGGGAAGATGTGTGTTCTTTTTCTGTGTTCATGGAATTACTAATCAGTCTCTCCTCCACAGGAAGAGAACAGGCCGGTAGGTGGGTTTTCTCTTCGTGGGTCCCTTGTGTCTGCTCTGGAGGATAATGGTGTTCCTACTGGTAAGGAACAACTTCAGCTTTGGCCTGAAGACCTCTGGGCCCCCATCAGCATGTCATTAGTGCCCCTGGTGAGGTGGTGAGAGCCTGAGCTCTGAGAATCAAGTGGGTCTTTCCTCAGGAGACAATGATGTGATCTTTGAAGTCCATTTTAGAAACAAAGGAAAATGCTATATGGGATGTTGTGTTTTAATACAACTGAACAATCCTTATTTTTTATATTCTTAGTTTCTGTGCTGATGGCCCATAAGCTTCCATCTAAGTTGCAGCTAAGGGCCACAGTTTTTTTATGTTTCATTTCTTAATGTTTTTTTTTAAAGTTTTATTTATTTATTATGTATACAGTATTCTGTCTGCAGGTCAGAAGAGGGCACCAGATCTCACTCTAGATGATTGTGAGCCACCATGTGGTTGCTGGGAACTGAACTCAGGACCTCAGGAAGAACAGCCATTGCTCTTAACCCCTGAGCCATCTCTCCAGCCCCATGCTTTCATTTTCTATCCACAATAATTTTACAGTCTCCAGCTATGATAGGAAGGTAGTATCATTTCTATCTTGTGGATGTAGAAATAGACACAGTCAATTCTAAGCAAACATGAAATTCTGTTCATCTTAAATAGGCGATTTTTTTTTTTCTGATTTTTCGAGACAGGGTTTCTCTGTGGCTTTGGAGCCTGTCCTGGAACTAGCTCTGTAGACCAGGCTGGTCTCGAACTCACAGAGATCCGCCTGCCTCTGCCTCCCGAGTGCTGGGATTAAAGGCGTGCACCACCAACGCCCGGCAAATAGGCGATTTTTTGATGTGAATGAAACTGTAGGTCTCTGGGCAGCATGGGCAAGCAAGCAAGCTGCAAATGTCCAGAATAAGCACTGGTAGGCTTTACGGTTGTAGGGAGTGGAAATACTTAAGTGTTTTTGTCTTAGTTGATGCTCAGCTTCTTTAAGCTAGAAGTTGACATGGATGTTTAATACTTTTCTCCTGTGTAGGAGTTAAAGGGAATGTCCAAGGAAATCTCTTCAAAGTGATTACGAAGGATGACACACACTATTATATCCAGGCCAGCAGCAAGGCTGAGCGAGCAGAGTGGATTGAAGCTATCAAAAAGCTAACATGACCTAAGGGAACAGGACCAGAGTTCCTGTTCATTCTTATCAGCTGATACAGATGGGATTTCATGGAGAACTGGAGTACAAGACTGGGCTTGGGATATGGCTCAGTGGTAGAGGACCTGCCTAGGCAATCCTGAGCCCCCGGGTTCAATTCTTGGAAGTGTTTAACATTGTCCCTTTTGTACTGCTTTGGAGCGAGACTACTCAAGATGGTTCCTTAGATGATACTAGTGGAGTGACTTCCCTCCGTCTTCCTGTCAACGACGTGAAAAGCTGGAACAGCTGTTAGGCAGCTGAAGGACAGAAATATGTCTTGCAAGGCAGTGGTGGGGCACACCTTTAATTCCAGCACTTGGGAGGCAGAGACAGACAGGTGGATCTCTTTGAGTTCGAGCCCAGCTTGGTCTACACAGAGAAGTCATCTCAAGAAACCACAAACACAAAAAATTTGTGTCTTTGGGGACCACAGTAGTATCTCTTTGTTGGAACACTAACTCGGACTTTGCTGTATTAAATACTCTAGTCTCAAGATACTTTTCTTAAGTGATTTCAACAATTCACATTTCTGGAATTAATAAAGATTGACATTTGTTTCTATAGTTCTTATACAGTTCTACGATCCCCACAGGTTTACTCCCTGTAAGGCCCTATGTATTACAGAAACTGGCTATGGGAAAACGTCAAGCAACCTGTCACTATGATGACATATCTCACAGTGGGGATGCTGGCAGACTGTTTAATGTTCACAGGATACTGTTTGCTTTGCAGAATAAGACAGCAAATATACAAGTCACAGACTCCTGAAAAAAATTTGTCAAAAAAAAAAAAGACAGAAATACAGGTTTTTCTGTACAAAATGACATTTAGAAAGATGTGGATCAGGAGCCCTCTGAACAACAAAGATACAAAGGGCAAAGTTAAATCAAGGGCTAAGACTGGTCTAAAGATGAAATTAACTGAAATAAGTGAAGAAATCTGGAAGGTTAACCTGAAGTGAAAAGTCTTTATCATAGTGTTTTTATAAACATTTTTTATTAACTTTATACAATAATCTGGCACAAGTCATGGCCAGCATTCTTGCCAAGGACAATGGTGTGGACTTTGATAAAACACATAACTTACATTTATTCAAGGGGAATGGATATTCCTAAAGTGCCTAAGTAAAAACTTCTCTCAAAATAGATTTCCTCTTAATGTCTGGAATACCTGACCCTGAATAGTCAGGAATTCCAAGAGTGTGTTTTTTTTTCCCCCTTTATCTTTACTTGTAAGAGACTGCCTTTTCAGGTACCATTTTTTCGTTTGGCATTTTTACAGGTTTAATGTACCCAGTTACTTTTAGGATACTAACAAGTGCATATCTGAATTAAGTTGCATTTGGTTTGATATCTTCCTGCCTCCAAACTGACACAGCCATACCTCCCAGGACTAAGGGTGGGGACAAGGATTCTCAAGAGTTCTAAAACAGGTAAAGACAGCTTCAGACAAAGCAGTAAAGCTGGCAAGGTACCAGAACGTTTATCCCTACTCACGTTAATAGTTCTTGATGGAAAAGGAAGAAACCAGGACACAAATGGCTGGTGCACACAGCAGAATGTGCTGCTACTCAGCAGCACAGAGACTGACACAGCTCTGCAGCTCACTAAGAACTTGAACATCTTCAAAAACAAAACACAGCCGGGCAGTGGTGGCGCACACCTTTAATCCCAGCACTCAGGAGGCAGAGGCAGGCAGATCTCTGTGAGTTCGAGACCAGCCTGGTCTACAGAGCTAGTTCCAAGACAGGCTCCAAAGCTACAGAGAACCCCTGTGTCTCAAAGTACCAACAAAACAAAACAAAGCAAAGCCACCCCAAGCTTTAACATATTCATGAGAATTGGTATGTTTGATTATAAAACTGATATAAAAGCAGTTTCAACATTTAATTTTTTTAGTCCATGTCAAATAACGTAGGAAACAAAACACTGCTCGTTTTGTTGTATGAATGACTGTAATCCGAGGCAGAAGAGGGAAAACAGAACTGTTAGCATTGTTAATGAGAAGGCTTTGGTGGGAAAACCAAGACGTGGTAAGTTGTTCTATTCGTTGTCCATTCTGCTGTCTTCCATGGCTGAGTATTCTGGACCTCATGGATCTCAGTTCTCACCACAATGTTAGTGAAGGACTGATCTTTACTCTGGCTAGGGCCACCATTTACACAACTGTGTTCATCAAGAAAGTCTAGATGGGATAAAAATCATCATAGAACCCCAGCTATTTTTAATTTTTGGTTTTGAGACAGGGTTTCTCTGTGTAGCCTGTGTGTTCTAGAACTGCTCTGTAGACCAGGCTGATCTAGATGCTACCATGTCTGGCTTCAACTTTTTTTTTTAATATAAAGATATTTCAGTAAACAATTACCAGGAAAAGGGCACTTGTTATATTTGATAATGCATTTTTTTTTTCTTTTCTGATAATGGGGACTGATCCCATGCTAGGCACAGACTAGGCTAACAACTATATTCTTAAATCCTTAGAGCAGTTGCCCAAACTGGTCTCTAACTTGTAGTGTTCCTGTGTTTCTGGAACAGCTGGGGTTATAGTTGTTACTGCAGCTTTGATAATATACCTCCATGCTTTGCTTTGTAAGCTTGAATTTTTTTTTTTTTTTGAAATAGGGTGTCAGTCACTATGTAGTCTTAGATGGCTTGTAACTTGATATACAAACCAGTTAGGCCTTCAACTCAAATCTGCCTGCTAGGATTAGGATTAAAAGTGTACACTACCATACCTAGTCCTAAACTTGTTTCTTGATGCTTTTAGACCAGTGGTTCTCAACCTGTGGGTTGCGATCCTTTTGAGGGTTGAATGACCTTTTCACAGGGGTTGCCTAAGACCATCAAAAACCAGAGATATTTTCAATAAGATTCATAACAGTAGCAAAATTACAGTTATGAAGTAGCAATGAAAATAATAACAATCAGCAACATGGCATGCCAACTGGCGAGCACTATTCCTTAGAAATGGGTCATCTGAGGTTAGACCATTAGATTAAAAAGCTAAGACTACTATGCTAAACAAAAAACTCTCCTAAGTGGCAAAGTATCCCCCCAACACTAATTTCCAATCCTCTTGAGACACAGGGCTAGCAATGGTTGCCAAGGCTGATCAACAATTCTGGGTTCAAGGAATCTTTCCACCTCAGCCTTCCAAGTACTAGAGGATATGCTACCATGCCCAACTCTAGAACCCTTACTACTCAATCCAGTACTAGACTGACTAGGCTTTTAAGTTTGCCTAAAGATAATAAATAGTACAAGTATCCTAACACAAGCATGCCAAACTAATTTCCTACATTTTGACGACAGTAGCCGTAGCTTCTTATGTGTTACTAGTCTGTGAAGGTAAAAAAGGAGCATTAAAAAATTTCATAACAGTAGCAAAATTATAGTTATGAAGTAGCAACGAAAATAGTAACAACCAGCAACATGGCATGTCGACTGGCGAGCGAGCACTATGCCTTGGAAATGGGTCTTCTGAGGTTAGACCATAAGATTAAAAAGCTAATAGACTACTATGCTAAACAAAGAAAAAACTCTTATATATAAAACACAACTAAAGATCTAAGTAGTACCTACCAGATAAAGAGGAAACGTCCCCTTCAGTTGGGCGATGCTGTTCAGAGTAACCACATCAAAGCAGCAGAGCCTTATAAAGACCCTTAGATTTATAACTTTAAGGGACATAGTTTAGTATACACCAAAGGGACTGATGACTTCTCTTATCCAAGTTGTCACTGGTCTCAAACAGGTTAACAGGCACATAATTCTTTAATTAAATTTCAAGGTTTTTCTCCACTTGGGATCAAATTCACTACAGTTAAATTTACAGTGGCTTCCCCACACCTTCCTTCTGAAAGTCTGTTACTGTGAAGGTCACTTCATTACTTACCGTTTACTTCTCACATAGGAAGAGAATTAGGATCTGAACATTCAGACTAGTTTTAACTGGTGACAAGAAGGAAGAAGCCTAAAGTTAAATATCCCAGAAATTTATTTGATGTTGGCTTGAATACATTTTATATAGGAAGGCTGGGACTGTTTGTGTTGGGTGCCCCTGGTAAATCTCATGGAGGCACTGAATCCAGAGACATCAGAAATGGAAACCGAAAGCCCAATTTTAGGGCTGCTCTTTAAGATTTGCCTCTGGTCAAATCAAGCCACTCCCTTAAAAAATGCTTGAGGTGTTAGCGCTTCTTTGTGGCCGACTCAGGAGGGCGGTTAGATTCTGGTTTGTTGAACACTTGAATACTTGGAAATAAAAAATATTCAGCTTCTAAGTTTTCAATACTGGAAAACTTTCAAGTCTAGGGTTTCCAGCCAGGAAGGGCAGCTTCATATTCCTTAAATCACTGTTTCCCACAAGGCTAATCTTCAGCTTTGGCTTCCATTTCTTCTGCGTCATCATCTCCATCTACCTCTGCATTTTCTCTCTCAAGCCGTTCCAGCTGCCTTGCAAGCTCAGTCTCATCTGTATCTGTGACCACTTTAGGCTGTGGAAGAGACATAAATTCAAAATGAATTGAACGGCAGAGCAGATTGGATTTCAATAGTATTACTGGCCAGTGTTTAAAATATAACTTAAGTACTTTCATTTCTAATAATTCAGTCATACTCGTGCTGACTTGCCTCCGAATAAGTTCTATTAGCTAAAAATTAAAACAAAAGGCTGGGCGATGGTGGCGCATGCCTTTAATCCCAGCACTCGGGAGGCAGAGGCAGGCGGATCTCTGTGAGTTCGAGACCAGACTGGTATACAGAGCTAGTTCCAGGACAGGCTCCAAAGCCACAGAGAAACCTGGTCTCGAAAAACCAAAAAAAAAAAAAAAAAAAAAAAAAAAAAAAAGAGAGACAAGACAGTACAGGCAAATAGTGCACACTACGGTGGAACAATACTTTCTGCCATTTTATTTTTTAAAAAATATTTATTTATTTATTTATTTAGTATACAATATTCTGTCTGTATGCCTGAAGGCCAGAGAGGGCGCCAGACCTCCTTACAGATGGTTGTGAGCCACCATGTTGTTGCTGGGAATTCAACTCAGGACCTTTGGAAGAGCAGACAATGCTCTTATCCACTGAGCCATCTCTCCAGCCCCCTTTCTGCCATTTTAATAAGCTTAACTGAAAACATGAATTCAGTGATCACAAAGACCACCAATGTCTTGCTTTAAAAAAAAAAAAAGGTTATTCTGGTTTCAAGATAAACTATGCTTCCTCAGAGAATGAATTGTTCTATACACACAGACATACAGTATATGGAAATTAGGTTCTGTTTATATAGTGATGAGGGAGAGATAGATTATTGTTTGAGACAGGGCCTCCTTATGTAGACAAGGCAGCCCTACTGCCTTTGCCTCCCAGTGCTGAAATTAGATTGGTGTCACTGCCTAGCAATTTTTCTATTATCTATTTTTCTCCTTGAGGGGAAAAACCCTAACACCACTGGCCCAAATGTCTATCCCAAATATGACAGCCTAGTGCTAATAGTTCTTATTACCAAACAACTCCCTCTTTTAGGAATACTATCTACCAATGGTTACTTTATACTTAGTATCTAA